AGTCGCTGAAGTCTCCCAGGGTCGTCCAAGGTCCGACCTCGATGCTGCTATCGCCCCCGAGGCGGGCGGGAACCGAGTCTGCGCAAGCTTCAAGGTTTGCATCGCGGCCGAGTTTTGGGTTGTCGGTCTGGGTGAAGCTGATCGCGTGAGGTGCGGGAGTGGTCTGCCCTGAGCGCATGCTTGCACATGACGTGGTCATCGTATAATCCAGCAAAGCCCGGCGAGCGGCATCACAAGACGCCATTGTGTTGAGGCGTTGGAGCCCGGGCCTGCCATGCTGCTGTGCCTCTGCCGCGCACTGCTGCGCCTCCTGCAGGGGCCGGATAGCCCAGTTAGATCCAGTTCCAGCGAGGGTCTCAGCGCTCAGCGAACACCAGACTGAGGCGATCGAAGCTCTTGATGATGGACGCGGCCACCTGCCGCTTCAGCCCGGCCTCCGATGCAGCCTCTCGGCTACGATGGCTACGGGTCCTAGCGGGATGGCGGAGCCGTGCGACTGCTGTGACAATGACAGGACTTGACTGCCATCATTCTGCGGTACTGCCGCCGCCGCGGAGCAGCCACCCTGCAGGCTTCGCGCCCTGGTCAAGGCCAACGCTGATTCTTGTAAATGCGCAAGGTCAGCCAACGCGCTCAGCAAGCACCACTCTACGACGAGGCGAGGGACTTGCTCCTAGCAGCAACGGAAATGAAAGCCCATAATTCAGGCCGATTGAGCTGCAGCGCACGGTAGCCTGCACTCCCCGGCACCGCAGCTTAGCTCGAACCATGGCACTTTGAGGTCGCTGTGATGGCCTCTGGCCGAGTGGTGGAGCAGGGCCCAGCCAAGAAGCTTTGGGCCGCTGGGACTAGAGACGAAGAAGGGCCGACAGTTTCAGGCTTGAAGGGTCGAGGCGCCCTTCTCTCGCTCTCTCTCTCTCTCCCCCCCTCGCTCTTGAGCAAATCGTAAAATCACCCCTCACACCTCTAGGTCAAGGACGGGGCCCTTCGCCGTGTGGCCAAAGATCAAGGCACCGAGAGAATGAGAAAGACCATAGACTTGGAAGGATCCGCTCTGCTATACCCTCCTGGTACACATAATATGTACACCTGTTGTGCGACAAAATTGAAGGCCTGGATTCGTCAAAGATGACGAAGCCAGATGCCCTTGCCGCGCGGCTCATGCCTGTTTGGGGCTGGGAAGTGCCGGGCCCGGAATCGTGCGGCAGCCACGATCGACCTTGGACCACCCTGCATCGACAACCCAGGTCAGTCCCCAGGAAGATCCAGCTTTCAGCGACGAATTTGCCGTGTCCATGAAGAAGGCGCGACAGTGTCGTGATTGTACTGCTCCGGCCGATGTGTCTCTGAGATGATGCGTCCCATCGTTCTTGTCAACGAGTTGGGGTAGGCCGTGTATGGCCGTGTAAGCCAAGCTAGGCTAAAGCGGCCAAAGCAAAGGAAGCCCTGCCTTACGGGTAGTTGGAGTATGTTGGACTTTCGAAAGTGACTCCGGAGCTGCAGCGGACTCGCCACTCTGCCACTGCAGGCCAAGCACTGAGGCGCTGCTCAACGGCTCGTTGCGAGGCTTTGCCTCGTTTCGTATGGTTCATAGCACCAAGGGTTTGGATCGATCAGGGTCTCACTAGCCTTGTTTTATGCGTGTGCCGGGCTCAGCTTGAGCGGGATGTGTTGATGGGGTTTCAGAGACATTGAACAGGTTTCAGTCTGATCGTCAAAAGTTTGTCCTGGCATAAACTGACCATGTCAGCGGGAGTCGTAGGCAAGATGTAGCGCTAGAACATTTAAGGGTTTATCAACGGCTTGAGCTACAACGGTTCGACGTAGAGAGCTCGTAAGCGATCGCCGGGAGGCTTTTGGAGGCTGAGCCGTTGCGCAGCTGCTGTTCGTTGCATAGTCTCAGACGGCGCGCGAAGATTTGCGCGTGTTCATTTTTAGGCGACTTTAAGCGGTAGAGTTCGCGAGAGGAGCTGACAATGCGCAGCTGTCGGTATTAATCATTAAAACAGTCTATAATAAGATTGAACTAAGCCGCTTACAGTCGTGTCTAAACAGCGTGTTACGCCTTAAGGCCTTAAGTGTAAACTGCTTAAATTAAGTGCCCAACCCTGTGTCACACCATGCCAAGACGACTGGTGTGCAGGCTGTGGCGAGCACCACGTCGCGGGCGAGAAGGCAACGCACGGGATTCAGGTAGAGGGGCAGGGGGCAGGGAGCCCGATCTGCACCCGACTACCCGCCGCCTTCCCACTCCGGGCTTTACGTCGCTTCGGAGGGGTGCAGTCGTTTGTGCCTTGACCGCTGAACGCCCTCCCACACCACGCGGCTTGTGTTGTGATTGCGGATGTTGCTCGCTTTAAGTGCACGGAACGTTGCATGGGCACATAAGGCGGGCGGACGCGGATCCCGTGTTAACGAGGCGACCCGGCCCTTCGGCCCTTGGGCCCCACGCCTGCTCAAGGCTCGGCATCCTGCAAGCCATTTGGCCCAGTTTGAGGGAACGGCCTTTGGAGGGGGAGCGGCATGGTGGAAGCACGGGTGGACCGCATAGAACATGCTGGCATGGCACTGGTCGCATCGGGCACGCGCTTTTGGGTGCCCTGGCCACTCTTAGGTTTGTCGGATGTGAAAGTTCAGAAGAGCTCAGCGAGTTTGCATTGGCGGCTCCATTGCATTGATCCTGACAGCAAGCCGGGAGACTACCAGGGAGGCACACAGAACTCGTACTGCCTCCGGGCCTTCAAGGGAAGGCGCATCGTTCCGGATTCAACGACGCTGCGTACTGGCATTCTCGAACTTGAATGTGCAGTAGAACCTTGGGGTCTTGTAAAGCAGACTTTGTGCTGTGATGGGCGAGTTCGTGGCAAAGTCTTTCCGATCGAACCTCTCCATTTAAGGAACAAGATGCTTTGTTGACGATCTCTGCGAACAGAATTCCTCTCAATCTACAGCTTGCAAAACCTCTGAGCTGCTGCCTCGAGCATCGGCAAAGCTTCGACAAAGGAGCTGCGGCAACTGGGCTGCAATTAGGATGTGCAGGCCCAGCAGGTCATGGATTTACGGACGTAGCTTTTTTCCCTGTCTTTGTCGACAGAGCCTTCCGTCCCCCTCCGAGATCCATCTCGAGACAGGCGCTGGCGGGTCAGAAGCTGCTGCAAGAGGCCCGCAGAATGACTTCTCCTTGTGACCCTGCGGCCGACGTCTATGCCCAGCGTTGGGGGATGCTGGTGGAGTTGGAGGCAGCAGCATCAGCGGTGGAGGGCAACGACTCCCGCGTGCTCTTCGATGTCCCGATCACCTGGGCCGAGATTCAAACCGCTGAGGGAAAGAAATCTCGGGGCTCCTTCATCATCTCTGCGCGCCTGGCGCGAAGCCACAAGCTGAAGTTCCGAGGCCTGTTGCCCCGAGGCGGAGAGTCTGCATCTTCGTGGTTGTGCTTGCGGACCCACGACCTCAAGTGGTTTGCACATGCCCTAATTGTTCAGGCTGGCATTCTGGAGGCACGCTTGGAAAGGGCGTGGATTGTAAGGATTGTAGGGGAATGGATTCATACAGTGGTGTGGGGTTTGCTGGTTTCTGCTGCAGACGCAGAATCAGGAGCATTCCAGGAAAGAAGAAGAGGCGGAGAGGCGGAGTGGCAGAGATAGGGATGGACGTTCGTTACTCCTGCCTTGAGGAGCTATAGGCTATTGTAGTTCGTGCCAAGCTCTCAGCATGTTTGAGCACTCCACTGCTGTTGCTGAGAAAGATCGGAAAGATGCTGTATCCCTGGCATGGCGCACCGATCTTCGTAGCACCAGGCCCTGCCCTCCAAAGGAAAGAAAGGAACATGCAGCAGTACCTGTGCTCCATTCAACGTAATGTGAGCGCGCAGCATACTTGTGATGTTGCGATGATCATGAGTATTCAGGTGTGGTGGTGGTGGTGGTGGCGAGTTGAAAGATTTATGAGTCACGAGAGAATCCGAGAGACTATGCGTTTTGTGATGTTCTTCCGGCATGTGGTCCGGTGCTTGAACATGGCATCCTTGAAGGATGGGCATCAACTGACCCTTGACGATGAGGAGAAGGCAACCGACAAGACCCAAAACTCAATTCACGTAGTATTCGACATCGAAGGCACGCGGACCGCTGCACCAGACATCGTGGAATATGTGCCGAAGTCTTTATCCTACAGCTGCATGCACATGGCTCTTTCGGATGTCAATCCACCAGCACGTGCTGATGGCCTACCTCCAGCCCCGCTGCTGGCACGCGATATTGTCTTGGGAAGGTTGCCACTGGAATGTCAAGAAGAACGACAAGACTTGTCAGCTTGGCACCTGAACTCCTCTCAAGAGCAGGCTGTTTGTCGTGCCTTAGCCCGTCACTTCCAGTTGTTGCACGGCCCACCCGGAACAGGAAAGACACGCACCGCTGCCGTTCTGATGACCCTTTTCGCTCAAAGGAATCTTGGAGCCCGGTGTGCGATCCTGTTTGGAGCACCCACCAATCGGGCCGTGGATTGTGCCTTGCTATACACGAACCAGCTTTGCGAGAGCTATTTTGCGGAAAGATTGCGAGCCCGTGTTGAGCAGGATGGCGATGCTGAGTGTGCCATCTGCCTTGATGCCAATCCAGATGTTGTTACGGCATGTGGGCATGTGTTCCATCGGACATGCTTAGCACGCTGCTTGCAGCAGAGCAGTCAATGCCCTTTGTGCCGGCAAATTCTGAAACAGCCGAGGGGAGGCTTGCGAATGCTACGAATCTACGGTGCCGATGCCGAACGCCAGGATTTTCCTGTACCCACCAGAGTGGACCACCCAAATGTTCAGACATTCAAAGTCCAGGTGATTCCAGAGAACATGCGCCGCTTTTCCTGGCACTGGCGCTGTCATGCCGCAGCCGGTGAAGAGCCTAGCGAGGAGGCGGTGGCTTGCCGACGAGCTTATGATCGGCTGAGAGCGTGTGCTCCGAAGAGCTCCGACTTCGAGGAACGACGTTCGGAGTATTACGCAGCATTGAGCAAAGCAAGAGCTGCAGAGATTCGCCAGGCCGATGTTATTTTCTCCACCTGCGTGTCGGCTCGACGGAATGCTTTACTGGAGGCACTTCTTCAGAAGAGCGCCCCCGAAATCCGCCAGGTGGTCATGGATGAAGCTGGGCAGGCTCCAGAACCAGAAGCCTTGTGTCTATTGACTTTGGCCAGATATGCCCAGCATGCTGTGCTTTTCGGGGACCACAAGCAGCTGCGACCTATTCTCCGTAGTAAGGTGGCAGAGCAGGCCGGGATGGGAATCTCGCTTTTCGAGCGTTTGGCTACAAGGTGTCGCAACGATGACTCTGACATCTGCAGCCCCGTCTCCTTGCTCGCGGAGCAGTACCGCATGCATCCAAGCATCAGCCGATTCCCACGCCGGCACTTCTATGGAGGCCGGGTGAAGGATCACCCGTCGGTCAAGGACAGGATTCGCTGTGTGTTGCATCATGGAGGCTCCGAAGCACGTTTCTTGGTTTGGACCGGGCACAGCGGCGGGGAAGAGCTCCAACGCTTGCGCACCATCGGTTCGGGGGGAGTTGGCTCCCGGGCCAACAACGAAGAAGCAACTAGGGCTGTGAGCCTGGCAGCCAGGCTGGCACGACAAGTGGGCGAGTCGGCAGTTGCGGTTTTATCTTACTACAACAGCCAGGTGGCAAAGATCAGCGAGATGCTCCGAAGAGAAAGTCTCAGAGGCATCCATGTAGGAAGCATTGCCACCGCCCAAGGTAGCGAGTGGGACTATGTGATCTTGAGCACGGTCCGTAGCGAAAAAGGTGGCCGTTTAGGGCTGCTTTCAGACCCACACACCATGAATGTGGCCATTACTCGGGCTCGACACGGCCTTGTGGTGCTTTGTGAACAGGCCGCTCTTGAAGGGTGCCCGAACTGGTCAGCTCTGCTGCAGCATGCGCGGTCCGAGGGTTTGATAACAAAGGAAGATCCAGAAGTGCGAGCCGCAGCACCATTACGGCGGCCACTGACTGACGAAGAAGCGCTCGACCAAGAGCAGGAGAAGTTGGCCGCTATGCTACAGAAGATTCTTTCTGCGCCCAGACAAGAGTCCACGTCAAAATCCTGCAGTTCCTCCAGATCCAGAAGCCCCTTGCGAGGTTCGTCTTCCGGCAGGTCAAGCTCAAAGCCGTCCATGAATACAGTCGTCTTCCAAGGTTTGGATAGAGCTTGTGGAGCTTAAGACCGTGCCAAAGCTTTTGAACCGACTGGGTTTTGCTGCGCTGTACAGTAGAGGAGTTTTCAACCCCGGTTCTTGTGTTCAACGGTCGAAGCCGACATTTGCGCGGACATCGCAGCATCGCCTGAAAAGTGTCACGTTTTGAGGAATCAGGGGAGGTGCTATCGTGGGCTTCACGGACCGGCCAGGTGCGGGCACGGCAGGCACGTTCCACCATCATCCGGCAGCTGAAAGGGGCAGCCGAAAGCGACGCCTCAGACCTCCGCCAAGTCCCAAAAACAGAGAATGTACAAGTGTCGTCCGGACTCCAAGAAGTGGGAGTGAGGGTTAGGCAAGCGTAGGTGCTTTCGACCTGCTCCGCACGAGCTCGTGGCGCGGAATCTCGTGCAACATGCGAATGCGGGGGTCTCCACGCACTCAAGCATTGGCATGTGCATGCTCATAATATTGCTGCCCACTCTAAGTCGCTTCGAGCGATTATTTAAACACGTGTGGAACTTGTGGTGGGAACAGTCCCTGAGAGGTGACAGGCGGTCTAGAATCTACAGTCCACAGTTCGACTTCTGTTCCGAGCACATTAGGTCAATCTTCATTGAATGCTGAGTTGCTGAGATTGAAAAGTATCGGCAGGTTGTTCGTGCCTGCGCAGATGCTCGAGTGCTCGTCACGCTCGTCATTGCCCGTCAAGCCAAGAGGTCGCAAGCAGGGTGTGTAGTAGACTAGTGACTAGCCACTAGTGCTGCTGTTACAGCTTCTGTTGGAATCAGGTCTCGCTGGAGGTTGTCGATCAGGAGCAGGGGTTAGGACCGTTAGGCAGACCCAGCTTCTCAGAGTCGAGGCGAGTTTTTCGGCTTGAGCCATCAGCTAGACAGATAGAGGAGCAGCTTGCCGAATGGCAACATACTGCTTGATCTGCGTGCTGCTGTGGTCGGATCTGGTGGCTGAGACACTAGTTTGCATAATTTTTGGTTGCTGTCGTCGATCGTGCTTTAGTGACTTCAAGGACACCAATTAGATCTATGTTCTCGTGGTGTCGTGGTGAGCTCACATGATACAGCATACAGAGACATGCGTTCACGTTTCTTAAGCCTTGCGCCTAGTATCTTTCACGTAGCTTTCACATATTTAATATGTCTTCAGCAGCTCATGATTCTTGGTATATTCTGCTGAGTATATTCTTGGTGCATGTACGCATGCAAAACCGCATGATGTACATAGAAGAAATGAGACGCTCAGAATCGCAGATGGAGGCTTGGAGACACCTGATAATACCTGGTAAGGTTCTAGTAAGGTGAAGGACAGGAGGCACTTCGCAAGCACGAATCTCAGTTCGAAAGATTGTGGCAGGTCTGCGCTGGCGCACGCGAGCGCAGTAGCGCAGAGGAGCTGATCCGCTTGTCATGGACATGATTGGCCTGGGTCGCTCCCTGCGTGGGGTCCGCACCCGGAGTTGAAGTCAGAGTTGGCAAGCTGAGCTTGCCAAAGTGGCAGCGTGGCGAAACAGATCCACGACGCGACACAGCCCCAGCACTTGGCGGAGCAGGTTGAGTTTGGAGGCTGCAGGCAAGATTCAGCACGGCAGCGCAATCTAAGCGAGCATCAAGGTGAGCCTGGATTTGGCCAGCGCAAAGACCCACGCAAGGTTCTGGTTGTTGAAGAGCCTGCGGCAACCAATGTTCGGCCGGCTGGAAAGTGGCTTGGAAGATGAGCGTTGGTGCGACGACAGCTGGGCTTTGGAAGTTTCGGCAATTTATCCAGAGGTCGACCTTCTGCTAGACTTCGATATTCCATAACAGCAACTGATGCGTTGTGCTTGCAGCTTAGGCAGAGTAGAAGTATTGTACACTATCGGACTATCGTGCAGCTGGGCACCCCGGTGGTGCATGGCTTGGAGGCAGAAATCTCCTGGCATAACATGTGCTTTAATGCCAGATAGTTCGCTTCATGCTGCGCTGAGACTTTTCGACTTGCGCTAATCAAGAGTAAAGCCGTTTGCTGCTTCAGACCTCAGCTTGACATAGTCGGTGGGGTCTTCGGGCTAGGTGAAGTAATCGATTGTGTATCAGGTTTCGTTAGAGTTTGCATCAGTAGTTGCTCCTCTTGATATTGCCTCCTAACTACCTGAAGACACGACTGTACCACACAAAGCATCCACTGCTGCCATGCCGGCGCCCGCGATGCCGCTGGGAAAGCTCCCAGATCATGGAGATCCAATCGGGGCAGCCAGTACGTGATGTGAGAACGAACCTACTCGTCGGCCAGGTTCTTGGATGTAGGCTTGGGCGTATTCGAGCGCTGGATTGCAGAAAGCCGTGCTGAGCTGCCACGAAAGCTTGCAAGCGGTCGCCGGCCGTGCTACTGGTAGCATGTTATGTCACAGACAAGAAAAGATTTTGTGTTTTTTTCGCAATGAGCGAATGCCGGCCGCCTTTCCGAGTTAGGGCTCCCGGCAAGCTTACTTCCTTTCCGCGGTGATGCGCACATCCCGAGCACTGTAAAGAGGTAAAGCCATGCCCCAGCTTTTGAAAACCTTTCGCAGTACGTTTCGCCTCGCATCGTGCTTCAAGAAGGACTGCGGGCGACCTTGCTGTAGCTATTTGTAGCTCCTGGATTTTCCTTTGGCTTTTCAAGACACGAAGAAGCACACTCGTGTCACCCTCGACTCGAGGCCGATCGACAGGGGGCCTACCCCTCGGCTTAGCGGCTAGGAGTTCTTGCGTGATTGTTCTCCCCTCGCCAATGAGTCATCCAGGTTTCTGCATGTAAGCTTGGTGAGTAGTTGCCACGACAGTTTCCGATTGTTGCTCGAAGGACTGTGGCTCAACTGTGCCGTGGGGCCCAGGCAGTCATTACAACACTTGGCTAGTCCGCCAGGCTAGCTCGTCATGTCACAGACCATCATAAGTTGCTCTTGTGGCCATGCTGAACGCATGCCGGCGGCCTTTCCGAGTTAGGGCTTCCAGCAAGCTTACTTCCCAAGCCCTATAATGTCATGCACGAGCGAGCGGAGCGAGGGCGGGTGCTGTCTCTCAGGGGCCGGCTGCATCTTTCAAGTTTCAGGTGCTGCGGGTTGAACTGCCGCGAGGTGTTCATTTAGGACGCTGGCAGATGCACGGAAGACATGCCCCCACTCACCCCCAACTCCTACCTACTGACCTTATTCATGATATGCACTGATATTGCCACACCTCTGTCATATCCTGAGCTTCAAGCAGAAGTCCCGTTACTGGAGTTCTTCCGAGTGGAGCTCTGAATCTTTTGAGCGCACCCGCTGTTCCTCTGACAGCTCCGTGAGTTTACTCTCACAATCCCGGCAAACTTCACAGCAGGGAAACTGTTTGCTGACAGGCTGACAGGTGCAGGCTAGAACTCCGATTTGCAACCCTCAGCCTCAGCGCTGAAGGAGGCCTGCGTATATGTGAATGAGGTGAGCGAGCTTGGCACAGATGTCCCACAGCTTCACTTGTTCCGGTTGCGTGAACTCAAGATGAATTGTTCGAGAAATAGAAGGCATTGGAATTTCCCAGTGAACCGTCCATGTCGCGGGAGCCAACAAGTAGCCTAAGTTAGTCTAAGCCCTTGCCAGGGCGTGCGATTACTCCGATTCCTCCAACTGCCCCCTTTAAAACGTATTTATCGATTGAAATTCCTTGAGCTGTGGCTGAGCCGTTGCTGCACGTAGCTCCAGCTGTTCTCTAAAAGAGAAGCTTCCAGGCAGCAAAATGTCGACACCTGGCTTGGCTTCTTCTGATGAGAGCTTTTATAGCTCCTCCTGGGGGCCCAAAAGTGGGCTCTCACCGGCGGAAGGCCAGCTTCAAGTGCTTGGGGAGGGAGAGGGGAAGTTCAATCCTTGTCTGGCTTGTGCTTCCGGCGGTAACAGGATGTAGTCGATCGCCGCATATAACATGGTGAGTTCGGCTCTTCAGTGATGAAGCCTCCTGGGAAGCAGCGAGCCAAGCAGTCGTCGCCGATGTTCGATTCGCCCAGCAGTGCTGTCGGCACTTGCTGCATTGGCCGCATGGCTCTGTCACGGTTGAAGCATCCTCTCGGTTCTGTGAGTGTACCTAATCCAATGCACGATCCCTTCCGGCTGGGCGTGCCCGGGTTCAATCAGCCGCACTTGGATACTGCATGCTGTCACATTGCTCCAGGCAGAACTTGCAGAGATGCACGCAGGGCCCGTCTGGAGCGGAGGCCGAGATGCCAGCGAACGGACGGGTGCCTGGGCCTCTGCCGCGCTGTTGGTCTCTTCGGCCACAGGCCACGTGTCACAGGCCACTTGCGTCTGCCCAGGCCCAAGTTTTCGGGATGACCGTGCGAATCGACACGGACGACCTGCAGTTGGCACTTTCTGAGTTCCCTGTGGCAGTGGTGCGAGCACGAATAGACTGCCGACGTTTGATGCTCATGCATTTTCGCAATGAGGTGCAAAGAGGTTTCGGGAGAAAGTCTTGCCAGACTCTAAACGTGATTCTCTCTGCCGCGCCATGGCTTGCAGCGTGGTGCACTGCAGGCAAGCAAAAGCACCCTCATTTGCTACTGCTACGAGTGGATCTCCGTGGAGCTGACGTGACCGGCCTCGTACCGACTTCCCGCGCCCTCGCGCTCCCCGACGCCGATGGCGCACTTCTCTCCTAAGCGAGAGCTCGACGTCACGCTGAGCGCCAGAGCGACTGGCATGCATCGACTCCGTTGTAATCTGTCTCTGGTGATCCCAGTTATGGGCACCGGGCTCTCTGCTGCGGAACGCGAGCTTCAAGTGGTTGTGACAGCTCCGAAGACATGGGTCTCAATGAGGGCAGCGAAGACAAACCATGGCTCCAGCACGTTCAGCTGATTTCGCAACTTTAGTTCGCACACGGGTGCTGTCATGAGGGATTGGGTGAAGGCCATCCGGTACCCCTAACACGCATCAACTGCGCAGGGTCTAAGACTCCAGGATGTATACGCCCATTGTCAAACGCCGCTGGTCAGATCGCCACATATCGCCACATCACTGCTTC